AAAAGAAAACTGACCCAAAATAGTAAAAAAAAAAATATTTTTTTTAATTAGCTGTGTGTGTCTTGTTACTACCATAACCTACCACCAAAGAACAACCCAAAATAAATTCTCCAGCTCTTGATGATTGCAGCGATACCACATATGTGTATGTATTTGTTGTTTGTACCCGGAGTACAGGAGTACAGCCCAGAAACAATAGTGCGCATTTTGTTTTAGTTTTTTTTTTTTTTTTTTTTTTTTACCTAAAACACACTGATATGGACACTAACCTAATTTTTATTTAATCTTGACCTTTGACCCTGACCTTGACCCAAATAATAACCCTGGCACTGAACTAGATCAAACCTTGATCTAGCTATATTTTCTTTTTTTTCTTTTTTTTTTAAATAGATATTTATTTAGCTTTTTTTCTTTACAAACTTTTTTTTTTCTCTCCATGCCAGGAGTTCAAGAGATACAATGTATCTCTCTTCTCCATTCATAGAAAGAGAGAAAAAAACAAGGGGGCCATGCTGCAGTGACTGATCACTGTGATAGCCAATCAGAGGCTATCACAGTGATCATGTGACCCGGAATCGGGAGTCCCGGGTCCCGACCGTTAGAATGGGACCCGGAGCTCTCAGTGACACCACGGTCTTTGTGCTGGGATCGTGCAGTGCGGTGCGCTCCCAGCACAAAGACAGGTGAGCAAATATGCAGCCCCCACGGAAAAAAGCCCAGTTCCGCGGGCCGTATATTTGTGTGACGTCGGCGTCAAGGGGTTAACCAGACTCCTGTCATGATCCTTCCAGACCTCTCCCATCAGACCCTGAATATGCCCATGGCCTTAAATCCACTCACGTAACTACTTCAAGATCGCCAAATCCGGTGCCAGTGGAGATTCCCTTATCAACTCAAGGCCTCCCACAATGGCAAGACTGCACAGTTTCGCACTTTTGGGATTTACCTGCCTTCCTTGGCACCTTCGAACTGTCCCAAGTGTCTTTACCGGATTGGCCTTTTCCACCGACAACGCCGGGTTTACCTTTCACCCTGTAATGGCAACGACAAGGCAACCCGTAATGGCAACGACAAGGCAAGAAGAAACGTTCAAGGTCCTCCTCCCACAAGGCCCCAGATGATTGACTGACTCTCTGCCTAAATGGGGGGGTTTCCCTCTTTGCCTCCTCCTTGAGGGTTTTTACCCTTGGCCTGCGATCTATGAGGTTTTGCTGGTTGATTGCTTCTGTTGATATCCAATAATGATTTCATGCTCTGACCACCTTGGATTGTGGAAGGCTCTCACATCCCCTTGTGTGTCTCCTAGGTGGGTAGTGTGGGGCTTCCTTCAATCCTATGGGGTATTTCATAATTATTGCTTTCGGGGTATCCCTGGAACTCCCTATGCAGCACACTTAATCTGTTTGTGTGGTTAATAAAAACCAAAATAGTAGCTCTTTTTTTTGTATGAGGGTCTACTTCAACTTTTTTATGTGTTACTCACCCAGTTGAGTGGCCTTCCACGCCATTCATTCCCTGTGGGAGGCCTGGGCTTTGTTCTGCTCTATGTGCTTTGGACTTTCCTCACCTCTCTGTGCTACCATTGTGCATTGTTTGATGTTTGGACAGATTTCTGTCCATTATTTGTTATGTTTTCTGTGTTTTTTTAGAGCCACCCCACCTAGTGGCTCTCCCTTTTTTTTTCTTACTTTTCGGGTGGATTCCATCTCTATAATTACACTCATCCATGCCCTGCCCTAAACGGAGTTGGTGATCCTACCCTCTCTCTCCTCTACTTTCCTATCCTGTGTCCTTTATTCTTCTTTCTTCTGAGAAATATAAAATGCTTTGGTTTATCTGGCTTCATTTCTCCTCCTCAACCGCCCTTAAGGAGATGCTACCACCTGAAGTGCACAGCGAGGCCTCACCCTCATAGATGGGCTAGTTGTGGAACGCTTCTTGGCACATCTCTCCACCCCTCACTTGGTCTCATCCTGTTTCACTCCCCTGACATCTGGCCTATGTGTCCATGGTTGCTCCAACCCCTCATTTTGATCTTCCTCATCTTGATGCTCCCTGTTTTGGTCCTGACTCTCACCCCCCCTAACCCACTACCTTCCCTCCTCCCAAAAAAATCTTTTTACTTTCTTCTATTTTTATTTTTTCTCCTCCTCTCTCTCTTTAGCTTTCTCAGACTACCTTTCTTGTTCTTGCCCGGCTCTCGCTCTCTACATTTTCCACTTTTATCATTGTACCATGTGATGTTCCTCGCCAAGTGGATTCCTCCAGACGCATCCTGTTGTTTTTGCTCATGTAGCGCTCACATGGACTTCATACGTTATATTCTCCGTTTTGCCTCTGAGTCGTGTAGACTTTCATTACGCGTGTTGTTTGCGCTCTTTCCAGTTGGCTTGGCATAACCTGTATGTACCTTTCTTTTCTTTTATGATGTTTTCTACTAAAATAAAATAAAGATGTATTTGCCTCTAAATTTGTTACTATTGTAATTTGATACATCCAAATCTCCAAATGGAAAATTCGCCCAAATTTCATTTCGGAACGAATAGAACCGCACACGCCTACACCAAAGGTGGAAAAAGTAAAGGATCTCCATCATAAGCCCAGAGTCAAGACAACGGGACCCCCCAATAGACTAGGATAGAGGAGGGATGAAAGAATAATGTATTGTGCCCAGAGAACAGCTATTAGAGACAGCATAACCCAAATAGCTTCTCCAATTAAGGAAGAGCCCCAGCAGGATTGGAAAAGGAGTATTCCACTTTAGATGCCAAATTTAAGGCAGCCTCTTCCCCTGACTTAAGCCGCCCATACACGGGTCGAAATCAGAAAGGATATTCTTTCGAAAATCTTTTCTAAGAATTTTCGTTCGAATTTCGCACTATTATGCCCCGTACACACGATGAGAAAATCGGACGAACGATCGGCCATTTTTTTTTGCCTGCTAGTCTCACATCGAAAGTGAAAAGGTTACTAAAGTTCCAAAAATTCACCTATGAAAGAAAAGAATTTCAAAAGTGATGTCATGTATTGCGTTGTATTTGTATTGTATTTTTAGATGACTTAGGCAGGCCATAGATGGGTCGAAAACTGGCAGTTTTTTTAGCAAAAAAAAACGAAAAATTAGTCGTTCAATAGGCCGATGTTACCACCAACGGTAACAAAATCGGCCGATTTTTGACCCATCTACGGCCGGCAATTAATTACTTCTGTCCCTGCAGAGAGCTCCGCTGTTATATTTGACATGAAAAAGTATAGCGGTTGCAACAATGTATCCATTTGTATTCATTTCGGATACAGATGGTTTTATTCTGATACAAATAGATACATTGTTGCAACCGCAATACTTTTTCATGTCAAATAAAATAGCGGACTGGAATTCTTCTTCCTCTTCTTCCTTCTTTTTCTTTCTTCTTCTTCTTTGTTCCTTCTTCTTCTACTTTCTTTCTTCTTTCCTCCTTCTTCTTTCTTCCTTCTTCTTCTTCCTTCTTCTTTCCTCCCTCTTCTTCTTCTTTCCTTCCTTCTTCCTTCTTCTTTCTTCTTCTTCTTCTTCTTTCTTCCTTCTTTCTTTTTTCTTCTTTCTTTCTTTCTTTCTTTCTTTCTTCCTTCTTCTTCTTTCTTCCTTCTTTCTTTCTTTCTTCCTTCTTCTTTTTCTTTCTTCCTTCTTCTTTTTCTTTCTTCCTTCTTCTTTTTCTTTCTTCCTTCTTCTTTTTCTTTCTTCCTTCTTCTTCTTCTTTCCTCCTGCTTCTTCTTCTTTCCTCCTGCTTCTTCTTCTTTCTTTCCTCCTCCTTCTTCCTTCTTCTTCTTCTTTTCTTCTTCTTCTTCTTCTTCTTCTTTCCTCCTTCTTCTTCTTCCCTCCTTCTTCTTCTTCCTTTCCTCCTTCTTCTTCTTTCCTCCTTCTTCTTCTTCCTTCTTCTTCTTCCTTCTTTCTTCCTTCTTCTTTTTCATTCTTCTTCTTTTTCTTTCTTTCTTTTTCTTTCTTCCGTCTTCTTCTTCTTTCTTCCGTCTTCTTTTTCTTTCTTCCTTCTTCTTCCTTCCTTCTTCTTCTTCTTTCTTCCTTCTTCTTCTTTCTTCCTTCTTCTTCTTTCTTCCTTCTTCTTCTTTCTTCCTTCTTCTTCTTTCTTCCTTCTTCTTCTTCTTCTTCTTTCTTCCTTCTTCTTCCTCTTTCTTCCTTCCTTCTTCTTCCTTCTTCCTCTTTCTTCCTTCTTCTTCTTTCTTCTTTCTTCCTTCTTCTTCTTCTTCTTTCTTCCTTCTTCTTCCTCTTTCTTTCTTCCTTCCTTCTTCTTTCTTCCTTCCTCTTTCCTTCCTTCTTCTTCTTTCTTCCTTCCTCCTTCTTCTTCCTTCCTTCCTTCCTCCTTCTTCTTCTTTCTTCCTTCATCTTTCTTTCTTCCTTCATCTCCTCTCATGCGCCGATTTTTTTATCGGTAAAAAGATCGGCCGATTTGCCCATCATTGCCGTGAAAATCCGCCGATTTTTTTTACAACTTTACCGATCAAAAAATGTGCCAAAATCCAGAAAAAAAACGGCCGACCAATTAACCCATTAACAGTGCAAAAATTGGCCGATAAATCATCTATGGCCTGCATTACTGTACTGATTAAATGAAAATCATACGATCTGGTATCGTACGAGAAAAGTTTTTTTTGCGCTTGTCCCTTCGGATATTGTCGTACGAATTGTCGTGATCGGCTCTCAAAAGCTGTGTACTAACGATCCGATTATCGGATGATCGGTCCTTGTGGGTCACAGAAATGGCCGATTTTCGTGTGAATCGAATTTGAGTGATAGGGCATGTTGGAAATTTTTTGAATGACGAACGAATTTTGAATCAATGATGGGAGAATCGTGTGAGAAATATAAACGAAAAAAAAAAATGAGTGTGAACCGTGACCTGGAAAGAAAAGAAAATTCTTGGCCATGAAAATTCTTTTCTGTAGCAACATGAGGTGAAATTGAAGGCTTGATTGGCTGAATTTCAAAATCAATGGTGGCGCCATCGGATTACAAAATGCATGAAATTTCCAATTTTCTAAAGAAAATTTGTTCAGCATTCGACCCGTGTATGGCCTACATTACACTATATTGCCAAAAGTACTGTCCCAGCCCTCCAAATCAAGTGATTCAGGTGTTCCAATCCCCTCCAAATCATGTGATTCAGGTGTTCCAATCCCCTCCAAATCATGTGATTCACGTGTTCCAATCCCCTCCAAATCATGTGATTCAGGTGTTCCAATCCCCTCCATATCATGTGATTCAGGTGTTCCAATCCCCTCCATATCATGTGATTCAGGTGTTCCAATCCCATCCCAATCATGTGATTCAGGTGTTCCAATCCTCTCCCAATCATGTGATTCAGGTGTTCCAATCCCCTCCATGGACACAGGTGTATACAATCATCCCCTAGCCATGCAGACTGCTTCTACAAACATTGGTGAAAGAATGGGTCGCTCTCAGGAGCTCAGTGACTCCAAGCGTGGTCCCGTGATAGGTGGCCCCCTGCATTTCTGTCAGATAACGTGTCATATCACTCAAACTGTTGCAATGACAAATGTTTCAGCATTCTCGTGTTTACTTCTTGTGTTTGTATTGGTGGCACAAAAAAGTGGAGAAACAAAAGCCAAAATCTGACACATTCCACGCAAAACCCCAAAAATGGACCGGACAAAATTATTGGGACCCTCAAGGTAATATTTGGTAGAGCACCCTTTGTAAAAAAAATAACTGAAATCTGGCTTTTTTATGTTTCTGTGTCAGCAATGGGGTCCTCCTGGGTCTCCTCCCATATTTCTATGTCAGCAGTGGGGTCCTCCTGGGTCTCCTACCATATTTCTGTGTCAGCGGTGGGGTTCTCCTACCATATTTCTGTGTCAGCAGTGGGGTCCTCCTGGGTCTCCTACCATACTTCTGTGTCAGCGGTGGGGTCCTCCTGGGTCTCCTCCCATACTTCTGTGTCAGCGGTGGGGTCCTCCTGGGTCTCCTACCATATTTCTGTGTCTGCAGTGGGGTCCTCCTGAGTCTCCTCCCATATTTCTGTGTCAGCAGTGGGGGCCTCCTGGGTCTCCTACCATATTTCTGTGTCAGCAGTGGGGTCCTTCTGGGTCTCCTTCCATATTTCTGTGTCAGCAGTGGGGTCTTCCTGGGTCTCCTCCCATATTTCTGTGTCAGCAGTGGGGTCCTCCTGGGTCTCCTCCCATATTTCTGTGTCAGCAGTGGGGTCCTCCTGGGTCTCCCTTCATATTTCTGTGTCAGCAGTGGGGTCCTTCTGGGTCTCCCACCATATTTCTGTGTCAGCAGTGGGGTCCTCCTGGGTCTCCTACCATATTTCTGTGTCAGCAGTGGGGTCCTCCTGGGTCTCCTACCATATTTTTGTGTCAGCAGTGGGGTCCTCCTGGGTCTCCCACCATATTTCTGTGTCAGCAGTGGGGTCCTCCTAGGTCTCCTACCATATTTCTGTGTCAGCAGTGGGGTCCTCCTGGGTCTCCTACCATATTTTTGTGTCAGCAGTGGGGTCCTCCTGGGTCTCCTACCATATTTTTTGTGTCAGCAGTGGGGTCCTCCTGGATCTCCTACTATATTTCTTTGTCAGCAGTGGGGTCCTCCTGGGTCTCCTCCCATATTTCTGTGACAGCAGTGGGGTCCTCCTGGGTCTCCTCCCATATTTCTGTGTCAGCAGTGGGGTCCTCCTGGGTCTCCTCCCATATTTCTGTGTCAGCAGTGGGGTCCTCCTGGATCTCCTACTATATTTCTGTGTCAGCAGTGGGGTCCTCCTGGGTCTCCTCCCATATTTCTGTGTCAGCAGTGGGGTCCTCCTGGATCTCCTACTATATTTCTGTGTCAGCAGTGGGGTCCTCCTAAGTCTCCTCCCATATTTCTTTGTCAGAAGTGGGGTCCTCCTGGGTCTCCTCCCATATTTCTGTGACAGCAGTGGGGTCCTCCTGGGTCTCCTCCCATATTTCTTTGTCAGCAGTGGGGTCCTCCTGGATCTCCTCCCATATTTCTGTGTCAGCAGTGGGGTCCTTCTGGGTCTCCCACCATATTTCTGTGTCAGCAGTGGGGTCCTCCTGGGTCTCCTACCATATTTCTGTGTCAGCAGTGGGGTCCTCCTGGGTCTCCTACCATATTTTTGTGTCAGCAGTGGGGTCCTCCTGGGTCTCCCACCATATTTCTGTGTCAGCAGTGGGGTCCTCCTAGGTCTCCTACCATATTTCTGTGTCAGCAGTGGGGTCCTCCTGGGTCTCCTACCATATTTTTGTGTCAGCAGTGGGGTCCTCCTGGATCTCCTACTATATTTCTTTGTCAGCAGTGGGGTCCTCCTGGGTCTCCTCCCATATTTCTGTGACAGCAGTGGGGTCCTCCTGGGTCTCCTCCCATATTTCTGTGTCAGCAGTGGGGTCCTCCTGGGTCTCCTCCCATATTTCTGTGTCAGCAGTGGGGTCCTCCTGGATCTCCTACTATATTTCTGTGTCAGCAGTGGGGTCCTCCTAAGTCTCCTCCCATATTTCTTTGTCAGAAGTGGGGTCCTCCTGGGTCTCCTCCCATATTTCTGTGTCAGCAGTGGGGTCCTCCTGGGTCTCCTCCCATATTTCTGTGTCAGCAGTGGGGTCCTCCTGGGTCTCCTCCCATATTTCTGTGACAGCAGTGGGGTCCTCCTGGGTCTCCCACCATATTTCTGTGTCAGCAGTGGGGTCCTCCTGGATCTCCTACCATAGCGCCACTTTTCATTCAGATGGTGACGTGTAGTGGGAGTGGACACAGTTGTACTCGGTGCCTGAAGGTCAGCTTGGATTTGTCTGGAAGTTGATTGAGGCTCTTCATCCACCATTCCAACAATCCTTCATTGCAATCTTTGATCAATTTTTCTCTTCCGTCCACGTCCAGGGAGATTAGCTACAGTGCCATGGGCTGGAAAGGTCTTGACAATGCTGTGCACAGTTGACACAGGAACATTAGGATCTGTTCATTGATACAGGTGAGTCAGGTGCCCCCACATGGGAGCCCCCTGTCCCAAAGCACCCCTCTATGTTGAGGGCATGTGGCTTGGTATCTTTCAGAAAGAGGGTGGGGCACTTGCTTGTCCCTACCTTTCCTGGCCTGCATGCTTGGATAAGAGTCTGATATGGATTTTGGGGAGGGGGAACCCAAGCCATTTGAAAAAAAATGTTGGCATGGGGGTTCCCCTCAAAAGCCATACCAGACCCAAAGGGTTTGTTTTGAAGGGGGGGGGGGGGCCACATCTTTTTTTTTGTTTGTTTGTTTTTTTTTTAATTGCCAGCAATCCTTTTTACATTCAGCTGTCAGTGGGGAACCCCGCTGACAGCTGAAACATTAAAGCGTTTAGTAGCTGTGCAATATCTTACAATGTACTCAGATGCAGTAAGATAATGCTCTCCCTAGGGTCACACCTAAGCGTTTTCTGCAGTGTTTTGTGTTTTGCAGAAACGCAGTACAGTCCATTTAACATGATTTCCTATGGGACAGGTTCACGTCTCCGTGTTTTCACCCGGTGCGTTTTTTGGGAAAGGGTCAGGGAACTTTTTGAACGCAAAAAGTTGCGTTTTTTGGTACTATAGACTTCAATGGAAACACTGCATAAAAGCATGTAGTGCGTTTGTGCTGCATTTTTAATCTGCCTAGTAAGAAAACGAAGGAAAAAATGCAAAACGTATCAAAAATGCAGGAAAAATTAGTCAAATGCAGTTGCAAAAACAAAAAATGCAATACAATGCAGAAGCGGCTGAAAACGCAAGCAAACCTTAGGCTAGGTTCATACCTATGCAGGTTGCTTTTGAGCCGTTTCTGCATTGCATTTTGCGTTTTTGCACCTGCATTTTTTATGCATTTTGCGTTTTTTTTCTTACTGCTAGGTAGATTTAAAATGGAAAACGCCTCAAAAATGCACTACATGCTTTTCTGCAGTATTTCCATTTAACCTCTTGCCGACCGCGCATAGCCGAATGACGGCTTCACCGCGGCCGGCCAGTTCTGAGTGGACGTCATATGACATCCTCCCAGAACGCACTCTCCTGCGCGCCCCAGGGGGCGCGCACCCGGCGATCTCCGTGATCGCTGTGTCCTACGGACACAGCTGATCACGTGATGTGGTGAAAGGCCGATCCCACCGGCCTTTTACCACGTGATCAGCGGTGTCCAATGACACGCTGATCACAGGGAAATGCAAGTGCCGGTTCTCGGCTGCACTTTCCTCACGCTGTCAGATCGTGAGGAAAGTACTGCCGAGAACCGGAAGTTGTCAGAGCGGGGATCGGCACCGATCATCAGGGCACTGATGATCAGTGCCCTGATGATCGGTGCCCAGCAGTGACACCCGCAAGTTCCGCCCAGCAGTGCGCCCACTAGCCCCGCCCACCCGTTCCCAGCAGTGCCCCCACCTGTGCCCAGCAGTGCCCCCACCTGTGCCACTCTGCAGTGCCACCTACCTGTGCCCAGAAGTGCCACCTACATGTGCCTAGCAGTGCCACCCACCTGTGCCCACCAGTGCCACCCACCTGTGCCCACCAGTGCCACCCACCTGTGCCCACCTACCAGTGCTGCCCACCAGTGCCACCCACCAGTGCAGCCCAGCAGTGCTGCCAGTCAGTGCCACCAGTCAGTGCCCAGGGGTTGTGCCAGTCAGTGCCACCAGTCAGTGCCCAGAAGTGATGCCAGTCAGTGCCGTCTATCAGTACCCATCATCAGTGCCGCCTATCAGTGCTGCATATCAGTGCCGCCTATCCGTGACCCCTAATTAGTGCTGTCTATCAGTGCCGCCTATCCGTGCCACCTCATTAGTACTGCCTATCAGTGCCCTTTAGTGCTGCCTATCAGTGCCCATCAGTGCCGCCTATCAGTGCCCATCAGTGCCGCCTCATCAACGCAAATCAGTGAAGGAGAAAAAATACCTGTTTGAAAAATTTTATAAAAGATACAAATAAACTTTTTTTTTTTTTTTTTTTTTCAAATTTTTTGCACATTTTTTAATTTATAGCGCAAAAAGTAAAGCGCCCAGTGGCGATTAAATACCACCAAAAGAAAGCTCTATTTGTGAGAAAAAAATGATCAAAATTTCATATGGGTACAATGTTGCATGACCGCGCAATTGTCAATCAATGTGCGGCAGCGCTGAAAGCTGAAAATTGGCCTGGTAAGGAAGGGGTATAAGTGCCTGGTAGGCAAGTGGTTAAAGCCTATAGAACCAAAAAAAGCACATTTTTGCATGCAAAAAATGTCCCTGACCCTTTCCACAAAACGCACCGGGTGACAACGCGGAGATGTGAAAGTGCCCCATAGGAAATCATGTTAAATGGACCGTAGTGCGTTTTATGCAAAACGCCGCAGAAAACACTTAGGTGAGAACCTGGGGTTAGGAATTGTCCCCTCTGTTCGAAGTTTGAGGTCAAGCTTACGTTATGTTCGACTGTGA